GTGTTTCTGGTCCCCACCTGTCGTTTTGCTCCTCAGCATGGCTTCATAGAAACGCTGCAGGATTTCTCAAACATGATGAATGAGTCAGAGCAAGGCTTTGGACATGTTTTTTATGAGAGTATAACATTATAACATGATATAAAACTCAAAAAAGTTGATTTTACATGATAAGGCGCCTTTAATCACATTTGAGCAGCATGGGAAAACTTTTTTGCACGTTTTGTTGCGTCTACTTGAAGGCCTTTTTGCTTTTTTTAGCACCCCTCTTGCGTTTTTACACTTTGTCCGTTGCTTCCTACTTCTGTCTAACTCCGGCCAGTTCTACTGGCAAAATCTGATGACTTTGGTCAAAGGGGAGGGGAAGGACCAGCGGTGGGCAGCACTAATTAAAAGATTAGCTCCGCATTTCCTAAAGCGCTTATGAATATACAGTATCTAGGTCCGCAATTTCAAAAGTGCTTATTCATAGAAAAATATTTGCAGAAGCTAATTCTAATGCACAAAATCAATTGGACACTTTCTAGCTGGCTACAATTCATGTACATACAGTATATGTACAATGCTGCCCACTAGTGGTGTATGAACCCTTGTACAGCTTGTTTTACTACCGCCGAATGCTGGGGGTCTGATTTCCTGAAACACAACTTAGACTCCTGGGTGTAAAAATTAAAAACTTGTTGAGGCTTGCTCGGCTGATTCTTTAAAAAGTTGCTGAGGATTGCTATTTCGGCTAATTTTTTTGTCTTTTTCTTTTGTTTGTTGTAGATTTTTCATTAAAGAAGCATCAATAAAGTAATTTTAAAACACTGTTTATTGGAAAACTGAAGTGATGCATTCTGGGTACATTTGTGACGGGAAACAAAAGCACAGAGAACAGGAAACTAGTATTTTCCCTTCAAAATAAGAGCGCGGATTTTAGTTTTCTGTTTCTATTGGATTCCAGTTCACCTGAAACTCATCAGACTGAAGAAGTCTCTTGGAGGAGAGACGAAACATTTAAAGAAGAACCCATCCAGAGGACCTACTGATTTTTTCTTTTTGATTTTTGAGATGCATCAGGACGTTTTCCATGTTGCTGCAGCTGCTCCAATTGACCACTAGATGCCAGTCTTCGTCACCATAAGTCTATAACCCCGTTGCTTCGACCAATTACGTCAAGTATTGAGCTCCAGCGTTTAAAATTTATTTTTTTTTTAAAAAGGAGCTCCGATTGTAAAGTAAAATAAGTCAAAACATACAAAATTTTAGTATGGATTACAAACGTTTACTGTTTTTGCTGGGACAGGGAGTTCTAAACACTGCCTTCCTGCTACATAAGCAGACACAAAGCATTGTGGGAAATGACTGAAAATGTGGATCTCTGCTGGCTACTGAATATTGTCTTTTGCACTGTGTTTATTATAATTTAACAGAAGCCATATGACTAATTTAGATTGCTGCCGCAAAAATACTTTGCAAAGCTGACCTACTAAAATGAGAACCGACTGAACCGTGACCCAAAGCGACAGTCAGGAAGGACGTATACCTCCCCAAAAGTGGTCTTCAGCCGGGAGAGGAGCTTTTGTATGGACTCACAACACATGTTGTGAGTTGTGAGTCCTGCCAGTAATACCTTCTGCTGTTCATGATAATGATGACTGGTAGATAATTAGTTATCAGCGGAACTGCAATTTTAATTTAAAAAGTGCAAATCTGCTTATGAATTATAAAAATTAGTAAGTCCGCCAAAGCGCAAACAAAATATTTAGGTCCGCAATTAGCGGATATGCACTTTAGCGGCCTGGTGCCCACCACTGGGAAGCGCCAAGGAGGACTGAGAGATATCACTGGATTATCTCTGTAGCTGTGTTTCCATCAACGTTTTTAATGTGCATTTTGAAATATTGCATCAGAAAAGGTGAATGGAAACGGCATGAATTGAAAAAACTTCATCACTATCAGTAACCCAGATCCGAGCGTACAAACTTTTTCACAAAAAAGTTGATATGCTTGCTTGAGGTGGTTTTTGGGTTCTTTGAAAAAGACTTAATGCGCAACAGGACAGATGGAAACAGATTTGCTGAATTAAGTTCGGACGTAGCGAACATTTACCTCACATGGTTGATCATTTGTTCCTGCTGGCTGTCCAGTCCCAGTACCAGAGCGACTGCAGCTGGACCCTCCTCCCGCTGTCGGCGTTTTCTCAGTTATTCCCATAACATGAAGAGAATCACATTTATTTCTCTACATCTCCAGACAGCAGTAACATCACCAGAACTAGTTGATATGACAGAATAATTACAGCTTTCCTGATAGTAGCAACACGTTCCTGATAACTTCTCTCCATTAACTTGAGATGTGTGGACCCTGCAAATTTGCAACTTTTACTTCCTGTTTACTACATAAATGTGTGACGTAACTGATTCGCTTTAAGCCAGTTGATGGAAACACGTCTGATTCGCATTTCTTCGTTTTTTCCTTTTTGAGAAATTTTAAAAATTGGCCCAAAATTTGAATTAAATTGGATGGAAACACAACTAATGTCCTTCAAGGAAACCAAATAAGTCGTCAAGGTCAACAAAACTTATTTATAATATGGTTCTTTGGTCCGTGACAGGCCTGGGCCGACCCATAAATATGCATCGGCCCACCGGGCATTGCCTGGCATGCCAGCGGGCCAGTCCACCTCTGGTTATAATCAATCATTTCTCAGTTAATTGTTGCATCCCTGTCCTTAATCTTCATGTGTGTTTCTGTGGTCCCTCAGCAGATGGTTCTGATTAAAGAAGAAGCTCCTGAAGAATGGGGGCCTGGTGTGGACCCGCAGGACCCAGAGTCCCTCCACATCAAGGAGGAAGAAATCTGGACCAGTCTGAAGGCAAAGGAGCTCAGTGTGAAGGAGGAGAATGATGTCACAGAGTTTACACTAACTGCAGGTCCTTTGAAGAGTGAGGATGATGAAGAGAAACCTCTGTTCTTCCAGCTTCATCAGCACCAAGTGGAGGACGGAGATCTTCCAAGCAGCTCAGCTGATCAGAGGACATCGGCTGGTGGAGGAGAGGACTTTGGAGGAACAGAAACCATCAGTAACCCAGATCTGAATACTCATGAAGATGGTTCATGCTCTTCAGAGACTGAAGTCAGTGAGGATGATGATGATGATGATAAGAATCCTGACTCTCAGCGTAAACTCTTGTCAGACTCCAAGGAGAGCAGTGATTGTGAGTCAGCTGGAAACACTGTCGGCTGCTCTGACAAGGGGTCTCTGCAGAAACGTGTGACAGGATCAAAGACTTCACCTGGTGTTTTTGATCAAACAAGACCAAACTCATTTAGGTGTGACACCTTTGGCAAAACACTTTCCAGAAAAGAACATCTAGAAACACGCACAAAAGTTCATACAGGAGAGAAACCATTTACATGTGGTTTCTGTGAGCAAGGTTTCACCCGGAAGGCAGATTTAAACAAACACATGAAAATCCACACAAAACAAAAACCATTTGTTTGTGACATTTGTGGTAAAGGGTTTATGCAAAAGTCACGTGCAAACAGACACATGAAAACCCACACAAGAGAGAAATCATTCGTTTGTCCTCTTTGTGGACAAAATTTTAATGAAAATACATCCTTAAAGAAACACGTGAGACTGCACAAAGGAGGAAAACCTTTTGCTTGTGATGTTTGTGGACAAAGTTTTAGCCGAAAGACAAATGTAAATAATCACAAGAGAATCCACACAGGAGAGAAACTGTTGGCATGCGGTGTTTGCAGAAAAAGTTTTACAAAAAAGGCTAATTTAAATTCACACATGAAAGTTCACACTGGAGACAAACCATTTGTTTGTGGTCTTTGCGGACAAAGATTTACACAAAACTCTAGTTTAAAGATGCACATGAGAATTCACACAGGACAAAAACCATTTGGTTGTGGTGTTTGTGGACGAAGATTTAACAGACAGGGTAATTTAAAGACTCATGTGAGAATCCATGCGGGAGAGAAACCATTTGTTTGTGCGGTCTGTGGACATGGCTTTAATGAAAAGGTGCAATTAAACAGACACCTGAAGATTCACACTGGAGAGAAACCATTTCTTTGCGATGTTTGTGGACACGCTTTTAGCCAAAACTCTGGTTTGATTTCACACCTGAGAATGCACACAGGACAAAGACCGTTTGCTTGTGGAATTTGTGGACAAAGTTTTAAGCATAAAATAAGTTTAAACAGACACCTGACAATCCACCCAGGAACTAAAACGGTTATTTTCTATGAGTCATAAAACAGACTGTGACGTCAGCTTGATCTGAAAACAAGGACAGACTAGACATGGGTTTTTACGATGTAAAAACAAGTGTAGCATGTCTTTTTTTTTTTTTTTTTTTTTTTTTTGGATGGCCTCCCTTCTCCCCTTATAGCCATCCCCTCCACACCATTATGTTTTTTTTGTTTTTTTTGTTTTTTGTTTTTTTTTGTTTTTTTGTTTTTTGTTTTTTTGTGAAGAGAAAGTAGAGAGAGAGAAAAACAGAGAGAGAAGTAATTAGAAAGATAGAAAGACTGAAATAGCGATTAGGATTATATTAAATATACACCAACAAAACACAGGACCACACAACCAACATCTGTCCGCTCACCTGAAAAATAAATGGATAAATAATAGAAGGCATATAAAAAAAAAATACACATTCCCATACATATATAAAGATATGCATACATACATGCCTACATTCATAAATATTGTCTGTATATACACATAGACATATATACACACTCAGTGACCAGTCAGAACCCCCCGGATCAGAGCACCTGTTTGTGAGCAGTTGTGAACATGCGTGTACATACAAGATTTCTCCAATGGAACACTCAATAGTGACTGTGGAGGACCGAGACCCAACCCCCAAGTCGCGAGGCAGACATAGGGAAGACCAGAGTCCAAGGGCCTGAGAGGAATCCCGAGCGCAGAGCCCCAAGGGACACCCGCACGGGAAGATCTGCCCACCCACCCCCCAGATCAGACCATAGGAGAGAACTGGGAGAGTCCCCCCAGCGACCACACGCACAGCCCCCGGGGCCAGCAGCGACAAACTCATGGGCCCCACCGGCACCCGCCATACCAAAGTGTAGCATGTCAATGCTACACTTGCATTGCAGCACTTACCTGCAGCAGTGAACTTGCAGAATGAACTGTGACCAAGTTCAAATGTGATTTCTATACCAGCTTGTGCCTGTCAAGTCAGCAGGTGTTCGTAATGAGGATAATTGTGTGACAATATGATGTTTGTAGAGATTTTTTGTTAAAGTTGCATTAGCTCAATTTTGAACCCTGATCTCCCACATGAAAGTCCATAGAGTTAACCATTAGACCATTTGAGCTGTGGCAGAGAGCATGGCCAGGGGTTGGTTTGTATGTGTGCAGAAAGAGGCCACATCGCCAATGCAATTGTTGACACTAAACTGCAATATATTACAACAATAGAGCAATATTAGGACAACATTAGAGTAAAACATCAAAATACAATCATATTAGTATTGTAACCACTGAACTATTGAGATTAAATATTATTAAACTATCATTCAGTACTGAGTAGATATAGCAGGGGCCAGTATTGGAACAATACAAGGCTCCATTGACTCCCATTATAAATTATTAAACATTAATATTTCAAAAACTACAAGTTGTACAGGCACCAAAAGGCATAGCCATCATTTGGCACTGGAGCTTTACAAATATAAATTACAATGGCAGGTCTAGGACAAAGTGTGCAGGAGGCGAAGCGTGCCAAAATGGACATGACTTGGATGGGAAATGAATCACAATAGTGTGCATTGCATTGGCATTGCCACTGATTAATGAACGCTAGGACAGAGTTTGTCTCTAAAGAAGCTTTTACTAGAAACTAGAAAAAAATCTTTTGGGATAAAACTTGTAAAAACTTGTAGTTATTTTGAATACGAGTTTCTTCATGAAACACCTTATTTAACATATTTTAACTGTATATATGTGTTTTGTGTATTTATATATTTTTCTTCAAAGAGAACTGATAATATAAGCTGTAAATATTGTTTTAATTATGGTTAAAATAAAACTTTAATGAAGACATGGTAAATAAAATCATTTTCAGTTTCATGTGAAAGTCACATTTTGGTGTTTGGGTTACACAACAGATCTTACTTTGAGTAAATTCAGACACTTTAGTTATGATATATGATATAAACAATATCCCACTCCTCCTCAACATCTGCAGACTAAGACCTTTAAGTTCAAATCAACACTTTGTGTAATTTTATTTAACTAATATTTGCCAGATGTTTTGTGTTTTGTGGAAACACAAAAAAAACCTGGGTGGAAGTGTTTTGTTTTACTAGCAAATAACATTTTCTGGCTGTTAGGCTGAAAAAAAACCCTCAAAACTTTGAGAAGCAGTTAGATGTCTGTGAAATTACTGGTGGATAAACGTTTCTCCGTTGGAGGAGGGATCTGATGCCATGAAAGACCTGGTCCACGACTCCAACCTCTGTTATGCTGAGGGGGAACTTATCTTATCCTAAACATTCCAGTCAACTAAAACAAAGTTAACCCTACCTTACAGAGACCTTACCTTTGTTCCCACTAAGGGAAACAATAAGAACATTTGATTTTAAAGCAGATCCTCCTGTCCTTGTGTCAGACTTGTCTCCACTGGACAGACTTGACACCTCAGGAAATACTTTTCATCCAGAATAATTTGCAAAACATTCAACAGAATGTTAAAGTCTGCAGAACCAAAACTCATTTTAATAACCAAAATTCAAAATATTATAATAAAACCATCTGATAAAGGTGATAATAGACAGAGAACAATAAACTTTAAATCTATAAACCTGCGGTCTGTCTATGTAAAGGGGGTTTCTCAGGCATCTAGTTCAGTTCTATACCATAATAAAGTAACTCTGTAACTTCAGTTGGGATGAAAATACTGTTAATATGTAGAAATCAAAAATAAACGTAACTTTACATCACAGCTGTTCTCTCTTAGAGGCTCTGCTGTTTACAACCTGTAGTGTTGTAGCAGACCTTGTAATGATGATGATGATGATAATAATAAAAAACACCTGTATAAGTTTTGGAAAATGGCAACTCAGCGTAAATCTGAACCTTACCGTCAGACTGGGAATTACGTTGCTCTGTGAAGAGGAAGCTCAGCTTGGAGATACAGAGGAGGAGCTGATCCTAAAAGGTGGTTCTAGTCCCGACCGGTGGTTTTTGCTCCTCTGCCTGCTGCCTCAGGACACTGCAGGATTTATCAAACGTGCATGAATGAGTCAAAGACTGTGTGTATTTTCTTGATGAGGGGATAACACATGACATAAAGCTCAAAAAAGTTGATTTGACATGATGTTGCCCCTTAAAGCTTCAACCAAGGTGCTGTTTTCAGATGTGTCCACCAGGAGATGCTCAAGATCTGTCGTGAGAAAGTGCTGCAGACCAAACCTGATGGGTCACTGACACCACGCTTCTTCCTCTTCAGTACAGTCACATGTTAAAAAAATAATTTAAATGGTTTAAACACTATATATATATA